AGTTACAACTTTACTGTACGTTTTTATATGGTGGTTAACTAACATATAAACTTTGTTACAATGTCAATCGATTTCGAAAAGCCGGACTTGGTGTAGTGGAATAATAGGTGTAAATAAATCAAATAGTATTATATCTGGATGATAGCATCGACGTAAACTGCTAAGACGTAATACTTTTTTATATAACGTTTTGCTTCATTATTATTTCAAAAGTAAACATCTAATTTTCTACACTATCATAAGACTATAGTATCCTAACTACAGTATAACTATACATAAGTTAGTACTAAATGTGTACTCTAATGTTCCAGGTTTTTCATAGTTCATCAATTGCTCAAGTTTTTGCTCATCGGAGGCGTCATTTGGCTATTTTGGAAAATATTCTCAACGGTTCTCTCCATCTGATGTGCCACATCTCAAAAACTTACTCAAAAGGCGATTTTTGCGGTAGGAAGTGTAAAAGCCAAACCGTGAGTGATAAAAGTGTATATCAACCAAACTAGTCCGTGTAAAAAGTAGGGTTACATAATAATTATACTATTTTCCTATAAAATAAAACACAATTGTTGAAATTTTCATGTGTTTTGTTTCTCGTTTAGAACAGCTACTCTAAGGTTATAGTAAGTAGAGTGTCAAATATTGGTCTCTAGGAGATGGTCGTGTCGTACAACTGAATGCGTAATGTCGTACACGAAAATGCTGGCCAACGTTTAGAATGTGTTGTAGGACTCTTATAGGCAAGCTATGCTTTAACCGCAGTTTTTCAATCTCCATTGAATTCAGTCTTAGTTTGGGTTACCCCGATGATGGATTTCTCTAAGAGTTTCGAAGCATTGACGGCTGTTTTCGCCAGTTAAATGATCGTTCAATTCGGATTTTGAGCCTGAAAACTCAGGTACGCGGTGAATTTGAGTCCCTAATAGAAGCGGCAATAATTGTTTCAGTAATCCTTTCGTGATTTTGAGCCTCTGGCCTTTCTAGGACTCTTACGGGCCCTAGAACGTAAGATCTTGTTTACGAAAAATTAAACGGTATTAGAACAGGAATACATGCATACCAATCTACAAGCATGCACTTATTCGATGCCTTGTGGCACATTTTACAAAAGGCAAAAGAACAATTTCTAAGTCTGAACTTGCTCAGTTCTGGTTTAAATAAATCTATTGTGTTTTTAATCTGTTTAAACAACTCGTTCCCAGATTCACTGTTCATCATTATATACCTTTCCACCTGTGCACTTTTCAAACAATTTGTGAAAATGAAAATATCGTAGAAACTTGTGATAACTGACGTTATTAATATACAAGGTAAATTTCAAATACCCAACGATAACTGCTCAAAAATGTATTAAGGAATTTGTGATGAGCACAGACACAAAGACTGAATAAAATTTAACACACGGCAGCAACTGTCCATAGAACCACTCAAGTCTTCGGTAAACTGGTTGTGAGAATGTTTTGGACTTCGTTTCGAAAATAAGCGTTTATCTCCCTTCTAGGTACATCTAAAACAATTGTTTTCAACACATCTTAAGAGTTGTGTATGTTTTTAAGACCTTCCTTTAACAAAAAGGTTAAAGGGCTAAAACCTCATTAGCCATAAATAGTTCTGTAGCCAATGGAAATGTTGAAATACATTTAGATAGTATCCTACGCTTTCTTAAGTTAGAAATTTAGTTAGTCTAACGTAGTTAGAGGTTATTTCTAAAGTAGTTAGAGGTTATTGAATAAATCACGAGTTGCTGGCAAAGTGAAATGGGATTGCATTCCTTAGCACTCACGTCAGATGTGTTTAGTAATTAGGTGTCATACTAGATAAATCATGTTATAATATGAACAATATAGTCAAAGGTTTTCTACGTGTTTGTTAACGAAGACTCCTCCTGCGTTTTTTCTTGTCCAAGGTTATAATCATCGCAAGCAGAGTGTCTCCAACATATGAGGTAGGGGCCGTGTCCCCCCCTGACCCCCTACCCCACACACGTCACGCAGCAGCATTTAGGACGTGTCGTGCGTGAGCGTGACTATGTCACACGCGACATCACCGTCGCCGCTACTTGTTTAAGTCTATACTTAAGATAGAAATTTAAGAAAATAAATGTTATTGTGGCGATGTTCAATGCGATGAAACCCCCATTTTAGCTAGTCTTTTGGGGGGTTTATTTTTTTCTTAGGGGGGGGCTAGGTCTTTGAACTAGGTCCATTATACACAGACTTTTCCCAGTTCAATATTTGGGATGGTAAGGTTTTGGTTAGGGTTTCATCTGTTAATGATGTATAAGGCAATAGTTATTAATCAAACGAAGGTGTTGGAACGAATATCAAACATTGGGATTAAATCCTAATTTTGTAAAAAGCAACATCTTATGAAGGTTTGGAACAGATATTCTCATTTCAACAATATTCAGGAGTTTTATGTTTAAATTTGATTGACGGATTTAGTTATAGAACAGTTTTAGAAGCTGGATGTAATCACAATTTTTGATCAATATGTGTTTAAATACATTCTATTGTCAGAATCAGAATCAGAATCTTTTTTGCCGTTGATCAAATACATTGAGATAGGCATTGTCAAATTAGGCTAAATATTTACATTGGTCGATAATACAAAGTGTCAAAAATACGACCAAATTTTTGAGCCCTTTGGTTTGTGACATACAGTAGCTATAATCAAGGCAGAGGGATCAAATCTGTTTGCAACTACAACCTAAATTTATTCTAAATGAAACCTACATATTCCAGGATAAAGTTCTATAACCAGTTTTCATAAAACCTCTAAAAGATTACATGAAAAAGTAATTGAGATTGTGTATTATATCCAAGCCGATTTGATCTTATGGCGAATTCATTGATTGCTCGTTTTAAATATTGTTTATTTTTTGTTAAAATTGTTTTAAATATTTATACTTAATAATTAATTGTATGACATCATGTATCTTGTGCATGGATCATGTGCTTGTACTTTTGAATAAAGCAAATATGTTTATGACTATGACTACATCTTTACGACTTTTCAGTCACATAAAGATATGCATTTTATATACGTTCCCATCAGGTCATGGAACATTTTGAATGGTTAAAATGATCTTGCAAAGGCTATCTAATATTTGATAAAGCCGAAGGAATTTGCCGTCAATTATTTTGTCAAGAAATTGTTAAATAAAGAACTGATTTTCATAAAATGTATGTTTTTGTAGTTGGATGGCAAGCATTGTGTTCACTTTTTTTCTACGGAATCTTTGTAATATATTAAAATTGTAGTTGCATATCATAGACACCATGATTAGATTTCTTCCGAAAATTTTAACTATTCCATTCCAACGTATGGTTTTTCAAATGGATTTAAAATCAAAGAAGATATAGGCCTACAGGGTGATTCTAAATTATTGTTACGCTTTTTAAACTCTATAAATGAAAAACTATATAACCTTTCATCACGGGATGACAATCAATTGAAAGAGGAGATTCTAAAGTTTTTTTGACACCACTTTGGTAAAGATAGTTGCAAAATTAGCCTGTACGGACATTTTTAGATTTTAACAACGATTTAAAATTAATTACTCAATTTAAAATCAATGAAACTTTAAAACACAGGACCCTTTTTGCTCTTTCAAAGTCGTGTTCCTCGCAGCTTACAATAATGGTGGACAACATTAACTGAGCTTTAAAATATAGAACTAAATGACCCCAAGTGGTATGATTAAAACTTTTGACAATTCAAAATACAGTATGAAGTTTTGAGAATCAGAGAGGTACAATTAATCACCAGAGGGGGTCAGAGGGGTGGTCAGAGGGGGTGTGTCATTAATTTAAAATCGTAGTTAAAATCTAAAAATATCGGTAGAGGCAAATTTTTCAAATGTGTTTACCAATGTGGCGTCAAAATAATCTTTAGAATCTCCCTTTTCAATTGATTCTCACCCTGTGATAATAGGTTGTTTGGTTTTTCTTTTATAGAGTTTAAAAAGTGTAATAGTAAATTATAATCACCCTGTATATGAATCAAAGGATCAAAGTATTTTCATAAAAATTCGTTACACTTTGTATTTGTCACATAAATATTCGATTTCGAAGAGTTACCAGTTAAAATATTTAAGGAATTTGTCTGCAATACACCAATCGGCACAGTTCAAAATCTCTGTAATGAAAACAAATTATTTACCAAAACCCCCTTTAATTCTAATAATTATTTTGTCTGTGAGAACACTAAGACAAGGAAAGTCCTCTATTAAGGTTTTAGAACAACAATTAGTCCGTTTACTATGGATAAGTTCTCAAAATATACATTTCCATATGGTCCATTGAAGGATACATTTGATGTCCTGTATGTAGTTAGTAAACTTGAGCATTAACTGTTTTCAAATTCAGTATAGTACTAATCATTCGCTCTGAACATTCACGGCCCAACTTTTTAAGGCTATAAAGCATTATTTTTGCTTTGTTCCACAAAGTACTCAAGCTGGGAGCGCCTCAGTACCTCAGCCGGAGGAGATCTGTCTGCGTAGTACTCGCTCCAACTGCAGGCTTCACTTTCACGTGATGACACGTGAAGCTTGAGGTGGGAAGAAAGTATTTGTCTTTTTTTGGCCTGTTCTTGTATAATGACCCCCCTCAGGTGGTTAGGAGCCCTAAATAACCCGAAAAATTTAGGACAGTAGTAAAAAAAATAGTATGACTATCGCAGATTTTTATTGCAAACTTCCTTTATATTCTATAAGCATAATAGGCAATTGTAGATTTTTGTTTTGACCTAAGTTAGTTCGAAAAGCATTGTAAATGAAACTTGTATGTATTTTTTATTTATTTGACCATTGCTCACTTTACGTAGTCTTATTCAAAATTACTCCTTGCCCCCCTCCCCCCCCCAATGGTGGTAAGGCACGAGCCAGCGACCACGCTAACGGGAGGGCTCCACGGTTGTGCTCCTATGTTGTTATGGTCACGGTGTAGTGCTCACTTCCTTCGCCTCGTCATTCTGTAATTGTTGGCCTCACGACAAGCATGGACATGTTGGCTATCTCTGTCTTCTGCGTGATCCTGCCGCTGGTTCGATCCCAGGTAAGTCTTAAAATATATCTTTATAATAAAAAAGAATTTTGAATTTTGATTAGGGGTATATCTGTATAGGATTTTACAATTAGTGTAAACGCTGTTTTTGGAAGTTGAGCAATTGTCCTGAGGATGGTTGCTGCAATGACACCGAAACGTCGGACAGGTGATTCAGCAGTGCATATCTTCCGACGCAGTAGATATAGAGATGTGCTATTTTAGCGTAATTTAGTACTAGTTGTATCTGTATTTTTTGTTTAATTTCGTATTTAGTATTAAAGTGTCAAATCTTTTAAATTGTCGACTCTGTTGTGCTATACTTAATGACAAGAAGGATATTTAAAACCTTCTATTAACATGTTACTATTACGTTATATTAAAAGGAAACCTTGTGAATCAACATATACGTAGTACCATTTAAATTTAAATTGATAGCTATTAAATTGACTTTTATAATAAAATAATATGAACTAACACACACAAAGAAACCTAAAAAATCCGAAAGCAACAGTTACCCAAAAGTCATACGACAGTTACACTAATTTTTACTGTTTGAGTGAAGTTTCAATTGATCATAATTATGTCTGCTGTTTAGTGGTGATTTGATATGTGCAGCATTAATATCAAATGTGTAAAGACTAAAGAGGGGAGGACAAAATTTAAACACTACTTATAAAATAAGAAAAAAATGGAAGCGGTTTCTTTAGTTTAAATGTTAGTTTCCGTTTTAGTCAGAACAGTTTTTTAGGTGTATGTAATGTGGCTTTGTAGTATGTATATTTAAAGACAACACTCATACACATGAGCAAAATTAATAAAACGTACATTAAGATACCCAAAATATCAACTGTTTTGGCAGTTTGTGTATTTACAGTGTAATGTGTGTGTTCAATCGTATGTGTGTAATCTTTTAATATATGGTTTATGTTTTAACGTATAATTTAGTGTAAAGCTCTTATCGTATACGGAGAGTTCGGAAACGTAGATACTGTGATGGTCTAAATAAATAAAATTTTTAGCTACTCTAACAGATCATTTGCATTGGTTTTCGTGTTAAAATAAATAGGTACCAATCTTTTGAACACAACGTGATTATTTAATATGTAGTGATATTTTGTAAACAATACATGTCTATTTTTATTGCAAACATACCAGAAACTAGTGAAAATCTCTTATTTACGGAAATAATTTGTTCTTGTCAAACCATTGTGCAACGCTATTTGCAAATTTCCGTTTCCAATAATTTAGATCAAAACTTATTTCCCCTTGGTTATTAGTGTATTATTTTTGACAAACAAGGCTAATTAATTATCAAGTTATGTTGCTCTAAACTTTGATATACGAGTTCAATCCGTAAATATTTTGGTCAAAGTTATCTTAACAATATATTACGGGTTGGGTTTATTCGTGCAGTGAGCAATTTAGCTATTTCGTTAAAACAATAATTTAAGTTATTTAATCTGTAATTCCCAACATTAATGAACACAGATTATTTATTGATAACAAAAAATACTTAATATCATATAGCTTTTAAAGTTAAGTACATAGTTCTAACTACAGTTACAGTGTTTATAAGTAAAGATAGGAAAGTATTCATTTAAAAATAACTTTATTTTACATTTTTTATATTGATCCAGGATTGATTAATTTCATAGTTTTAAATTGTGTAAAAAAGAGAAAAGTTTATTACCATGTACGTACAAGTTTGGCTATCTCGTGTTTTTTTTTATATATATTTTTTTAAAGAAACATATGACATAAATGTATGATTTATATCAAATTATTTTTTTTCATTACGAGCAATAGTATTATTAAATACTGTCAGAAATGTGCAATAAAACGAACTATATGAACACATTTTACCATACTAAAATAATATTGATGCTGTGTTTATAACAGTTGTTCTAATCCTCAGGCATTTAAACAATTGTAAATAAACACGCATTACTGACTTACTGACACAGCAAAAAAAGAGTAAAATCGTCATTTTAAAACCCCATACCAAAAGACAGTTTACGAAAAGGCTGTCTTCAAATTTCAATTTCTCCTTTTTCTTCAACGTTTACCATCCTTTAATTTTATACTGTATTTTGTAATTTGATAGTATACCGTGGCTGGCTTGTTATAAACATAAATCACGACTCTTTTGTTAAATTTGTATAAAGCAACATGGCTGCTTGATAACCCAAGCCATCGTTAAAAGATTAAAATTGCATTTGAATTTTTTTAACTAAATAAGAGTTTCTCCAGAACAAAGCGTATCATAAACCTTTCTTAGTCTAAATCATAGATGTTTAAAACAATTTAGAGCTATTTTTGAGATCACCGAGTACGCAAACCCTACTAAAATTTTAGCATAAGAAAAGATTAATTCACCAGGATCATCATTTTGATGATAAGGCTTAACTCAATATATTATAGTAATATTATATTATAGCTCACTATAATAAATAGCAAAAATACAACTATGTAAAACAGAAAAACTTAGTTTAATGTTTTCTGCTTACTAATATTAAGCTACTAATTTGAATCTGACATACAAATTTATGTTTTTATAATAATTTAATTTTGTGATCAAAATTGGGTTGGCCAAAACTACTCAAAATATATTGACTAATCATTGTAATCCCAGAGAAGTAAATACAAGGCCTGGGATTGAAAAAAATGATTTTATTAACATTTAAATATTGTGATTGCCTTTCTTTAACAATTTTAAAATTTGAAATATTTGTTACATTGAGTTTGTAAAGTCGTTCAAGATGAACTGATCGTTTTAAAATAAATGACCATAAAAACATTCGAAGTAGTTAAATATTTATTTTAATTTCTCAGTGAAAACGAAAAATGCACACTATATCGGTTACATATACATATCTGTTATATATGTCACAGACCAACCTCTTTATTTATTCCGTACATGGAGTTAGCAGGTTGATCCACTCAAATTGGGTCTAATACCTGCATTTAAAAGTACTACTTAGTAATGCAACAGTATGAACTAAGATAAGCCACAAGCTCATAACAGCCATTAGTTTTATTTAAAGGATGTATCTATATAACAAACAAACAAGGAACATGAACTTTTGAATAACCCGTAAGCTGCACACCTATCAACCGCATACTTGAGTAAAAGGTCTTTATAAGAAACCTATCGAATTAGAATAGGTTTTTCGATAAACCCTTTTTTAGGGCACGCACCTCAATTAAAGAACTTAATTTAATCACATTTAAAATAATTCTGGGGACCAAGCTTTGATTAGAGAAAATCATTAGTAGACCTATGCTCTGAGAGTATACTTTGGTCAATGCAATTTATCCAAGTATACTCTTGCCATATTTGTAATTTGTTAAAATAGTAAAATCCTAGTTTACTTTCTTAATGTAAGCAGCAATTATGGTCCTTATGGGGCAAATTATGTATACGTTTCATTGTTATTTTTGGAACCAACACACCCAATATGCCTCAGCTGTTACATTTGTTTTTATTTATATTTTTTAAATTTTCTCTGAGTTAACCTTTTGTTGATTCTTATCATAGATTCTCTGTGTTAATAATTCGAGAGTCATTAATTTTGTCCCATCACACAAATAATAACTAATATCGGGAATCCGTAGGGTATAGCAAAATCGTGAAAAACAACATAGTGCAAAGTCAGACGATTTTAATCTTGTGGGGAGCACGACAATGTCTTATCCTTGGGCGTGGAGGGCTGGGACAGGTTTGTGCGCGTGCCCGAAGTACTCTTCTTCATAGTCCACCTCTTGCAGACAAAAGTGACAAGACAATGGCGTCAATTACTGAGGCTCTGGTGGAACCCCGTCCTTCGTCTTTTCTGTCGCTCCTTCGTACACGACATCCACGACTAATGGGCACGGAATAATTAGTCTTGACAGAAAAACACGGAATCAAGATCGAGAAATAAGCACATCAAGGACAAAGCAATATTTTCAACCAGGGTTTTTTACTCGGTATAATATGCGTTTAGTAGCTGTCAATAAGGATGTCCGTGAATCAGTTGTGTAGGAATAAGTTATTATATTGTTGCATAAATTCTTGCAGAATATTCAACTGTAACGTTTAAAATTTACCATCTATTTTAATACGATATATGGGATTTAGTTTACTGGGTTAAATGTTGGGATTCATGGATGTTGACGTGATATTCAGTCACCTATGACTTTTGGATATTATTATTCAGTTTTTCGAAGGTTCTAATCCCTTTCATATACAATCAGTTAAACAATGTTTGTTACATTCATTCACCGTTATATTTTGAGCAGTTTATTTTTTGAAAATCTCTAACCCCCAAAAATCAGAACACAACGCAAGCACAATTACCATACTAATCAAAGTATCAAAGTAAGTTGGTATCAAAGTATGTAAACATTGTAAAATTGCATATTGGTTGATATTAATAAAAAAGCTGCAACTAAATATTTCAAAAAAGGTATACAAAAGTCACAAAGGTTTTTTTTATAATGAGTATTTTTGTATGAGTGTTAAGATAATGTTGTCTTTATTTCTTTAACGATATTCAAACGAGTGCAATAGAATAGATTGAATTCCTGAGCCTATGTATCGTCGTGCTTTACAAATTATCAAAATACCATATTAAAATGCCATACATAATTAAACGAATTCAAACATTGGAACAAGCAAATGTATTTCTCATTAATATTTTCAAGACATGGAACAAAATTTGACTAGTAAAACAGACAGCTGATAATAAATAAACATTAATATCATATGCACTAAGACGATGACAAACAACTGTTTAAAAAGGTAGGCATTTTCGATATCAGCTTTGAATAATAGCTTATAATTGTACACTATCGGTTTACTATTACAATCTGGGATTGTTGCTTGCCGGAAATCAACGGTATTTCTTTACTTTAACCGATTTACAGCATTTCGAAATAAAAACCACAACAAGTGATGTTACAAAGATAAAACAAATTTAGTAAAATTCTGATGTAACATACTATTTCAGAATGTAAAAAAAGATCTAAAGATTTTCTTGGTTTTCTAACTATTTTGGTTCTTTCCAGAAGCTAAATGAAAACGTCGGAGAAGCTATGCAGTTCTTGAGGGAATACGAAGACCAAGCTGCAGACATGTGCTTCAGGGTGAAAACTGCCCAGTGGACCTACTCTACCAACATTACTGACTTCAACAAAATGAGAATGGTTTTCCTCTTGATTTTAATAACATTTATAACTTAATAGCAATTTAAGTTCTTGTAACTTTATGTAAGATGAAAAACTGGAATTCCAGTATAAAAATGTCATGAGAGTCCGGAGATTTTACTGTCCATGCGACTTTAGCTGAGCCGATACTTTGACAAATTTGGTAACAGGTTGAAGTAAAACTCAATAAATATGAATAATGATTATCTAAATTTAAGCTAATACATCATTTAAGTAATTTCTATAATTTTTTTAACGAAAGAGCAACAATTATAACACATTGAAGTAAAAAAATATGTATTTAAGTTTTTTTTATCTGTATTCTGTTTCCCATTTCCAATTAACATATTCTACAAAATAATGTGAATTACATAGTATGAGTAGCGCATGAAGTCGTCCGTTTATAGTACAGTATATTTAACTGTATTACCTCTTCAGTCCACTTTTTTTGCGTCGAATGTGTTCAAGATATTTTAAAAAAGGCTTTGGATGTTTAACATACTCAAACAATATTTACGTAATATGGTTGAACAATATTTATTTCACTTTTTTTGGACATTTACCATGCGATAAATACACAATAGATACAAGACCGTTGGTTTGATTACTTTGTAAGGTAGACTATCTGAGATGTAGATTTGTTTTACACAGATTCCTTTGATATTCCAGAAAGAAGAGCAAGAAAGGCAGTCGCGTTTCGAAAAGGCTTCATGGAAGAAGTTGTCCACTTTTGCTTGGGCACGATTCTCAGACCCTCAAATCAACCGTCAGCTAAAAATCCTACTGTCCAAGGGACGGTCAGCGCTTTCCGATCCAGATTTGACCAGGGTGATTATACTCAGTAGTCAATTAGTGCTTAATCATTGGTATTGTTGATATCAATAAGCATGCAGTGTTCTCTTCCTATGATGAACATGTAGCCAGTTTTAGAATAATTACCCCCACCACAGGGCGAGCTTCAATTTGTCTGGTGGATTTTGACAAAAGATATAGGCTATCCTTAAACTTGTATTACCAATTTAAATAGCAATATATATACATATACTACTACAAGGTAGAGAAATGTATTTTTATATAAACAGTTTTAAAAGTATGTTATGAAATAAATAAATTCGATAGATTTGATCAAAATGTATCTATAAGCAAACTACAACAACTTAATTTTTCTCTATAAGAATAACAACAGTTAGTTTTTTTTCAATTTTCTCTGTAGCCTTTGGAGACTTTCTTTGTAGCCTACTCACCCAACGCCTAAATATACAAGTTTATTTGATTTTTAAGGCTCTACACGATGGGTGTATCGAAAATAAGGCCTACACGTAGGGACTACGTTTGCCTTATATGGACAGTGGGTAAAATTTCGGTTTTATTGCTAATCTAATTTATTATGCTCTGTCTATTTTCATTAGACTCCCAAATCCGCGGGTGTAAAATTCCGCCTGCGAACAAACTTTAAGAGCGCTAAGGCTACTATGTCATAGTGACGTCAGGTTTGCCCAAGGGGTAAAATTCCAGGAGGATACAATTCTGGCAACCCAGCCAAATCTATCGCATATTTTATGTCATATTATGTCATATCCAACTATGAAAGTACTACTATTTAAGGAATAAAATTAAATTTTCGACAGTAGCACACCTTTGAGTGGTTCTTTCAACTGTGTTCTTTTTGAATAAAACTGGCTACAACTGGTCCATATAGATGCGATGTCTGCTTCACTATCCAAAGGTCAATGGTAGATTAAAATGTGCGTTTCTACAAGTACTACAACCATATCATATATGCCATTTCGTCCATTTACTAACTCAAAATAATTTCTTATCATTTCATGGTCACTAACTTAACATTTTGAAATTTCAGCAAGCATATTTGAATTATAAATAAGAAGTAAAATCATGCCCGTAATAAAAAAACTTGTAAAAATACTGCTACATGTTCTTTTTCTTTAGCTTTGATTACTGTTCTTACAATAATACATTTGTTGGGTATTAATTATTAGCAGATATTTAAAAATGTCCTTTTGCAATCTTAGAATAGTTATTTTATCTTCACCAATTTACATTTCCTGCAACAGAAAGCTTGACATAACTCTTATTTTGTCATTTATAAAGTGAAAACGTACATATACAGTCAATGACTATCAATGCCTATTCGCAGCACCTTTCAACAAAATCGGTTTTATGAGACAGTAAAATGTGTTATTTCAGCTTCAGCGGTTGATTCAGGAAATGAAGGATGTATACAGTTCCATTCGAGTGTGTCCTTATAGCGGACAGACTTCTCCGTATTGCGACCTTGCGCTTGTCCCTGGTAAGGACTTTTTTAAATTTTCTTTAATTTATTGTTTTTGCTTTGTAGAAATAAGTACTAAATTCTGTCATTTAATCATGTTAAAAACATATACTATACTCCATTCACAAAATGTAGGTGGTTTTAGGGAAAGGAATTTATCATATCCACTTGATCATGCCTTTAAAACAAAGCTCAACAGCTGAGGTTTGTCAACACGTAAATCAGTTGCAACATATGCTTTAAAAGAAAAAAATATATAGTATTGGGTGAATTTCCCCTCAAGCTGCCAGAATTTTGTCAACAGACAATAACTTTGAACATCTAGATTATCTATAGAACATCTATAGAATTTGTATAGTACAGCTGTTAATTTAATTTATAATTTGTAAACAAATATATTATAAACATTTTAAGGTTTTAGGAAAAGTTGCTTAGCAATGTATCGAAATAATTTAATTGACATTCGGTATTCAAGTATTTACACGTGGTAATTTACGAAGAGTATATGTATTAATTTTTAATTTAAATCTTGAACCAAAAATATTGTACATTTTATTTACTCGTACAATACATATGTTTAACCTCAACCAACATACTACAGTAGCTGTGTATGTCATATTATAAATAACTTCTTGGCCACCATTGTACGTGTTATAAATTTACAGATTCTAAAACTACGTCTGATAACCAAATATCTTAATACAAGTATTTTTATTAGAATATTTTTACTTAAATTCCGTCATCTTACTATCGACTACCTTTGGGCAAAATCCCCCATCAAATTTTTCAGGGTTTGATTTATTTCAATATTTTATAAACATTACTACAAGACTGGCAATAAAATTATTGCATCCTTATGTGACCTATTTATTCAGGATAGTTAACATATAAGAAGAACAACTAAAAGATTTTATGTAAATGTTTAAGCCGAACGGAAGCATGACATCTATGATAACGGAAGTAGAGGAACGTCGTGCGTGTTACCTTCATGTTTTCCGTTCTTTCCTCTATAATCCGTTCTTTGTTCCTTTGAACAACAAAGAATGCTAGTACAGACGTTGAATTATATTGCTTAAAGAGTAGTGAGTAATGCCCATAAGCGTTCCAGTATTGTTATCAATAGTAGTATTATCAATATGGCAGTGGGGGAGCGAGCTGGTATAAAGGTTAGAGCGCTAGAGTCCCTGAGGTCCCGGGCTCAAATCCTACCAAATAACCAATGGATTTTATCCAAGTGATACTGCCGCAACCCCTAGGTCTAGCCTGAAGTAATGTGAAAAAAATCCCAGGCTCGTGCCTTAGGAGAAAAAAAACATATGGCAGTGGTCAACTCATATGTTTCTCCCCTCTTTGCGAAGAGTTTTAAAAACAATTACCACTAGACATTAACTAGAGTTTGCCATTGACGGAATCCAATTTAGGCCTATACTAACTAGTAACAAAGGACACTTCAGTCTTACAGTGCTGGGTTTGATTCCCACCAAACAATATTGGCTTTTGGATGAAAGCTACGTGACATTGCTATTACCTGGTAGTTCAGATTCTACCTGATGTTTGGCTGTAGAAAAAAATCATAACACAATCTTGTGAGTTATACATTTCAAACTCTATTAAGACGTATATTTGGTGCACCTATGAAAAGATGTAATACGAATACCAATGTTGATGTTATTGATATCATGATTACTGTCAACAAATAGATAGCTTTTGACTTAATATTTACAAAATAATCGTTGCTGGTTGTCTGCACTATTATATAAAACGGACCAATAGTTTATTTAATAATATATATGTTACATTCGGAACTGCTAAAGAAGTACAACGTTACAACGTTTTGTTCAACTTAATATCACTGTAATTTCTTTGAGTTGGGGACGAGAATAATGTGTATTTAACACAAATATTAACGGAATATAAGCGTGATTGAGTGACCTTTGTCATTGCCTAATATTAATTTACCTTTAATTCGTGGCAATCATTTCCATGTCCAATAAATTAAAGGATTTATCCAGAATCGAACCATTAAAAAGCTACCAAATTTTTAAATGCTGAAACTGGCAACCATCTGGGAGTATCACTCTCGTTCAGTGACTTGAAGAATTTGTATTACATCGTTAACTGATAATATTTGTTACAACGTGAAGTGAAAATGGTCTCAATATTCATCAAGTTTCTGACTGATGCATACTTTCTCAGATCTGACTCGTACCCTGGCCCATTCCCGTAACTACGAGGAGCAGCTACATGTATGGCGCTCTTGGCATGACTCCGTAGCTCAGCTGAGGCCCAAGTACGTAGCCTACCTCGACCTCATCAATAAGGCAGCTCAGCAGCAGGGTAAGAAAACATACGATTGACAATTTTTGTGTATGGATAACTAATAATGCAGAGTGTTTCAGACAGGACTTTGGGAGTTTGTGGAAGTTTAACCATTTGATCTTTTGGCCTAACTCAGAGAAAAAGCTTTAATTTCGTTACGCACAAGTTTCCAACCATTCAGAAATATATGTTAAATATTGATTGCAAGTATGATGAAGTTAAAGTCTTGCTGTAGGCCTGACTCAAAGACAAAGATTTTGCGTCGTTGGCCATAAGCTTTCCACCTATTGAGTTACTGAAGGCTATGTTCGATTTTTATTGCAAAAATTAAAAGGTTCAAGTCTTGTCGAAACCCTTAATATTTTGATAATGTGCAACACTTGTTTGAAAGACTCGTTGAACATATTTTTAGATCACAGGACTATAAATTTTAGCATGCAGATTTATTTACGTATTTATAATTTGCCAACATTTAAGTTGGGAATGTCATTGTTTATCACGTCCACGTGCATGTTGACAAAATTATGCAACTTAGCCACAAAACATCTTAACCTTTGTATTTGTCACATTCAAAGAACCGTAGACAATATGTGCAGTTCATGATCTAAGTCGTTTTAAACTCGACAACATTGACGAACTCGGAAAGATCCGTTCAAAATTTTTCTCTTTTTCAAAAGTGAGCCTTTGCCTCAGTAGTTGCACAAATAACTTTTCCTTTCTCTTCAGGTTTCCGAGATGCCTCCCAGCACGAAAGATCAGTCTACGAGGACCCCGAATGGGCTCGTCACATGGCCGAGGTATGGGCCCACCTGAGTCCCCTGTACCAGCAACTACACACTTACGTTCGTAGGAAACTGCACGAGTACTACGGTCCTCGCAGGATCAGACTTGACGGGCCTCTACCAGCTCATGTCCTTGGTAAATAGGTGGGAATCTAACGTAGTGCTGAAACACTTGAACGTATAAAAGTGGCGTGAAGGGAGGTTAGTGCTTGGGATAGAAAACTTCCCACCACTCTTCCCTACTCTGAATTCATATTACAGAAAAAGGTTTTTTTCACGATCACATGAAAAAAGCATAATTTGAATAGCCAAGTTTTTGATAAATTATATATTCGTATATAAGAAAAATACTTTTTATTAAAAGAAAAATATGATTATGGCTTCATTTTAAATTGTTTAGCAAAATAAAGGATGTACAGTTGTTTAAGAAAGAAGATAAAGGTTGTGGTTGTCTTATTTTTGTGTTCTGAGATACAGAACCCACTTTAGAGAAAGATGGTTGATAATTTAAGGTATTTGTAATTTAAGTTTTCAGGATTTTTTTGTTTATGACTATCTATGAAAAAAATCACAATCCAATAAAAGTACTTACATCCCCTAGGTAGAGGTCTAATGCCGTACAGTTAGTTGATGGATTAATATGATAATGTTTTATACTGTAGATTTTTGAATAGAAAGTAGTTAGTCAAGTTTTTACATGATAATAGAGAGCTTAAAATTTCATTTATAGAAAAACAAATAAATTTAGTATTATTAACACCTACGATAAATAAACTCAGCTCAGCGCTCACTATTAAGTAAGCTAAAATTGCAGTGTTTAAGGGCTACATAATGTCACTATGAATTCATTGTGTTTATACTTCATATTTAAATAATCCATAACACAATCTTTTTACTATACTTTAAAGGTCACTAGAGAAACAAAACGTTTACCCATATGTATTTTCATTGCATTGTTATAGTTACCAAAATTAAACTTACATCAACAGCCTTAATGGTTTGTCGATCGGTAAGATGAATTTTTGACTTTAAGATTTTGAGATTGTTAAACATTGCACTTGTCAAGTCTACGAGTTTGAATTTCATCTCTCATCCAGTTTAATTTTACAAGGAATGGGCTGGAAGAATATTTCAGTGTTTCCCTACAGTTCTACATTTCAGGAAATATGTGGGGCCAAAGCTGGAAGAATATTTTTGATATTGTCATCCCCTACCCGAACAAGAGAAGGGTGGATGTGACTTCGGAAATGGTGCGACAGGGATACACCCCTATCAGGTCAGTATCATCAATAAACCATATCTAGGCTAACAGTTTAAGTGCACTTTGTTACAAGTAGACATTTAAAAAAATAGTGTAAACTACAAATATAAAAGTCAAGCTTACTACCAAGAAGTCGTAAAACTACAAAATATACAACTACAACAGACTACACGTTTGTGCATCACAAAACTAGGCGGGTTGTTCAGCCATTTCCTAGGTAACATTATTATTCGTTATCTGAAAACTAATGGTAACTAATCACTATCAGCAAGGCTATTTCTATAATGAAATCAAATGCAAACCCAAATCAATGGTTTACTCAATTTGCGAGATAAGTCCAGAGAAAGTCTAAATAATGTGTAATAGGTATAGGTAATAAGAGGCATGTTCGTTTTGCATTGCCATGACTTATTGCGTGATCTGAAAAAAAAATGTAAATGGCGCTCTTAGTTGGCAAAAGGTGAACAAAGGCCGCTACTGAGGTGTTAGTACTAAGTATAGGCAATGTCTCTTGTAAGAGAACCGAGAGCTCAACATTATAGCCATGGCAGCCTAAACCAATGATGTATAAATATTTCATACAGACAGACCTAAAAAACAAAGTATTCTCTTCCCGTTGTAAAGATCGGGTATGAACTTCAAATCAGGTATTAATTAATTTAACATAAAATCGCCCAAGTGAATACAAATAAATAAAATGGCTTCAGAATTTACTATAGCATGTGAAATACTCTTGCACTACCTTACACGTAATGGGGCTAAGGAATTAAAATTAAATTAATAACATTCGTACGTATTAAATTGTCTAGTCAGTACTGGGTACCTTAGTCCGTAAGTCCACCAATCTATGGAAAAAATGTCTTCCTGAGTTAAAGACATCCCGCCTTATAAAGGTCCTTTCATAAAGGGTAATTATGTTAATAGTATTAATAGAAATATCAATCTAAAAACCCCTTTACAAAGGGCATTTACTCTTAATTCATAAAGTGAAATGTTGAAACAAGATGTATGAAATCAACATAATCGTTCATCTTTCAGATATTTTTTTTGTTAAATTAAATATTTATCAGTACAGTTCACCTTCGTACTGTACCAGCTCACCCTTTGCTTTGCTGGATACGTTCCACGCACATATCTGTAGTCTATGTGGACGGGCAAATGCAAGGTTAAAAGAGGTAGCCAACCTCTTTAAAAAAATATATAATCTCTATATGAAGACTATTTCGATGATATTAACAAATCATTGTTGAGAACAGAGTGAAAATGGATAACAAGTTAAAAATGTTATTATGGGAAAAATATCCATGAAAGATAAAATCGTGAACTTTCATAGATGGAGATACCATCTTTGTCCATATAGATTTACAATAGTCTTCTCGACTAATTGGATGTTTCTTAACTGTCTAACCATTACTTGTTAGGATTTATTTTACTTAGTTTTTAAGTAGTGTTATTGCGAACTTACTGAAGTATCTTGAGGTCATGGGAAATATCAAATTATAATAATTATTGTATTTTTAGAATGTTTCAAATCGCTGAACAGTTTTTTACATCAATGGGGATGAAACCAATGCCAGTGGAGTTTTGGCAGAAATCTATGTTTGAGAGACCTCCAAACAGGCCAGTGGCGTGCAAGGCGTCCGCTTGGGATTTCTGCAACCAGAAAGACTACAGGTAAAAGCAAATAGTATTCTAACAATAATTAAATCCTTAAATTAAACTATTATTCATGCACAAATTAGAAGTACTAAAGTTAAATTACATTATTTTTTTCTGGTAAAGAATATGTGGGAATTTAGATTTTTTTCTAGGTAGGCTATACCATTTGTTTGTTATTGCCGAAACAATTAGCAAAAAAAATATTTTTTACGAATATTCATACAGACAGTAAGAACTAAACTAGTACTTAAACTCAAATTAAACGATAGTATTACAAGAAGTTCGCTAATATACAGAAAACCAATTATGATTGTTCCCCTAAGTCTTCCAGATCTGAAACCTTTCTGTTTTTTACATAGTTAAGTCCATACATTTTTTAACCCATTTTTTTATCGAACTTGTTAAATATTTTAAGGTACAACATACCTATAACAAACAATTGGTCCAATAAAATATTTTAAAATGGTGACCGTTTCAATTTTTATAACTAAAAAAAATGGCAAATTTTATGAGAAATACCTAGTACACATTTATTTACCGTCAACGTTTCCTATCAAATGACACTAAATTAAAAAGATCGAGGGGCCAAATAGCTGAAATAACACGTTTTTTGTTGTGAAATATGGTAAAATTAGGCTATGCTAGTCAAGGTGTGCTATCGTTATATGATTTTCGCCTTATTTTGACCCATTAAACCATTTTCCACATTTTAGCTGTTTACTTATGGGACACTGTTTATACTAATATTAGTATTTAAGAGTAATATATTTACCAAGCCTCTGTTACTTTTCGCTCCTTTTTTAGGATGAAGCAGTGTACAGAAGTTACTATGGAGGGTCTACTGACAACTCATCATGAAATGACGCATATTCAGTACTACCTTCAGTACGCCCGCCTGCCCTATGTCTTTCGGGATGGTGCTAATCCAGGTGCTATGCTACTGTATAATTAATTATTCAATTGCATATTTAGTTTGAAGTTTAATCTTATGGATTAAAGTAAAAAAAAAACTACTTTTTGAACAACTTGCATATATGAGCTAATCACGCTTAAATATATTCCAACATAAAGTGTGTCTTTCTTTAGCTACCAATTGTGCAGGCTCAGGTAAAAGCTGATTAATTTTTTAAGGACTAATTAATGAGTTGTAATAAGTCAAGCATCAGACAGCTATCGGAAACTATTCAATGCATGTAATTGTGTTGAGTTGAAAAAATATATAAAACATAAACTGTTTCACTCAACGCTAAAGCTAACTCCAGTTTTGGCCATTCTATGGAAATAATTATTGTTTTAAGAAGGGAAACCTCACGATAAAAGACCATTTAAGGATAATCATTGGCCATATCATTTCTCTCCACCTACTGAGCTGACAGATTTATTTACATTACCCACATAGTTCTGCAATAAAATGTTGAATCTACAGTTATAATATATCAGCAATATTTATGTGTTTGAAAATATCCATCTTAAATAAATTTGTACTGTTATATTAAAGCCCATATGAAAGTGGCAACTCAAAGTAGTTTACATATTTCATGTTTTCATAACCAACTTATCCACAAGCTGTACACGATTTCTAACACACGAATCTACAGTAGCGTTAAAATCTTGATACTTCTAGTTCTTTGTAATATATTTTATTGATATACAGTATAATATTTAAATCCATCAATTTGTAATATGTTGTTATGAAAAATGCAGGATTCCATGAAGCGATGAGTGAAGCCATTGGCCTTTCTGTAATGACTCCTCGTCATATGCATCGCATTGGGCTGCTAGGAAACATCACGGATGACTACGGTAAGCAATAATCAGCAGTATTGTATACATACAAAGGTGCATATTGCATAGAGCTTGTTTAAAAATTATGATGAAAACTGCTTTATTTTATAAAACTTGCATAAACAAAATAACTCCAAATTACACTTACAGAAACAATGTGTTAAAGTAACCGCCTGTATGGTTGACACTTAAGTTAGTATACAGGCAACTGGTGTTAAACTAAAAACATTGATTGCATGACAAATTATCATAGTAAATACTACCAAAAACGACTCAATTCACGACGTTCTATTAATGATTGAAAAAGAAAGCCTATAATCAAGTGAAATGGAAAGATTAAATATTGACAAGTATATTAACACATGGTTACATTGATGCGAAAAATAAATAAAACTAATTGATTACTTACTTATATAGTTGGTTATTTAAAAAGGAAACAAGTTTCAAAAAGAGAGGATAGGAAAACTAAATATACAGCTTATTGAATATTACCCATTTACGAATTACCATTACAAAAATTCGAATTTAGAATGGTGCAATAATTTAAAGCTTTTCGGCTAAGATACGCCAATTCATTCTATTTCAATACTTGATGAATTCACGCTTTTCTCAAATATTTCTTCCAAAACTATCTTGCCCTGTTGGCCCTGTTGGCTAAGATCAAGGTGCATAAGGATTTGTTAGTTGTGAGATAAATAAATTTAAAACCCTACAAACTATTTTGAAACCAGAATAAGGTTTTGCCTTATTCTAGTGAACATTTTTTGTCAAAGGTGGTGTTTAGGAATTGTGTTAAGCTAAATGATTTGTGATCCAAAAACTACATTTTTGGCTACTTTATCCAGCCAAGAAAGATTGGGGCCAAGGCAATGATTAAAAGACAACAATGTAAATTGCGAAACGTCACAAAATGCTGGAAGGTTAACATATGCAGCAAGTCAAATAAGGGTATCTTTACATTGGGCAAGGAGGACGGAAGAGTTAGTTTATCAGCACAATTGGTTGACCGGAGCTGCCAGTTTTATGATGACGTTCATACTGCATACATTTTGTGATTTGATTCAGCTTTATTTTAATCACTTTTTGTCTCACATGTATTTTATTTTCAGAGACAAAAATCAACTTTTTACTGGAGATGGCTCTAGAAAAAGTTGCGTATCTTCCTTTTGCCTACTTAGTTGACCAGGTAAGTTGAATACTTTTCCTATTTTCCGACGTATTATTCTGAAAAGTAGCAATTCATTTTGTCTCCAAAGTCAGATCCCGTTTTGGAACTATAATTCTTTAAGTTTTTGAGTTCATAGAAAAAAAAATATATATCAGTGTTAAAGGCAAGAAAACTCTATTCCGGATTATAGTAAAACGCTTTGCCGATTTCTGATCCAAAAGAAGAATGGAAATGTAATTTTTGACCAATTTCCGCTATAGGGAAGTCTTTACTCATTATATCTAAATATTAAATTTCAATATAAAAATACTTCCTCCGTTCCTTCAGCTGGAGCCAGACTTGATCATCTTCTGAAGGCAAACAAAATACTTGCTTTTGTTCAAATGTACTCCACTTTCCATGATTGTTGCTGATGTGTTCAGTTAGTTGTAACCTTTCTATTATGTGATTTAGAGGAACCACCGTACAATTATTTTCTTTAAACTATTAACAGATTGTGACATGACTGGTGTAAATTTGTATTCGTAAATTTGGTCTAATAAACTAAACATATTGAGAGAGAGAATGGTCCTGAATACGATCTCAAATAATAAAACTTAGCAATGTTTGGGTTTACCTGTTGGTTTACAAATTCATTGGTTGTTTCTAAAATCCGGATTATAGTTCCGTAGTAGCAGTAACTGCTTTGATTTTTAGTATATTTAATATTTACAATGTTTAAACATGATCTACATACTTAGGGTTACATTTATTGATGGTGGAATGGTAAAATATTAGGGGCAGTATATGACATTTACTTACATTGTCTGGGTAACCGAGTGGTTGTATGTCTCGCCTTCCAATCTAAAGTTCGCTCGTTTGATTACAATCGACATAGTTGTCAGAACCAAAAACCATTTGCTGTGGGGCTATCAACTGATTATGCTTTCTACCAACAGGTTAGATGGTAACAAGACCTGATACCATAAAAAAATCGATAAATTACACTGGCATAGATAAACACAATAAAATATGTAAATAAATACATTTACGTTTAGAACAATATAATATTTTATTCACATACATATTCAATTGGCCCAACTTGAAGCATAGTGGGAGCCATTCTATGCTTGGCTCCTTAATTTTAACATTGAAGATTTGTGAAACATTTTTTATTTGTCTGTCTAGTGGCGATGGGGTGTGGAGTCGGAAGGCACCCGCAACATGAACGCTCGATGGTGGGCGTTGAGACTTCATCACCAAGGGGTTGTGCCTCCAGTGCCCCGAAACGAGTCACACTTTGACCCCGGAGCCAAGTATCACGTTATTGCTGACCAGCCGTACATCAGGTTAGGGAACTTCATTACCTTAAATACATCAAGAAATCATTGTTTAAACAGCTGTCCTTGTACCCATCTTTATCACTGAGCTAGAAATTCAACTGGAGTTAGCTCTTGCACGGTAACTCTGCTAGAAAATCGATACACTGTAAACTTTTGTCACGTTGGTACCAACTGGAAGAACCAACCAGCATATTGGCTCATGGCTTTATTACAATCCCACAATCCCTTATTCAGTCCCTAGTTCCAATGTACTAAGCACGATGTCTACAATTTACTATGTCCCTAATACATAAGACAGCCAACTTAATTAAATCTTAAATCTTAATTCTCTCAGTCAGTAGTATCTTCAGTTCTACCTCTAGTTAGTGCTGCACCTTATTTCTTATTAAATTTAATTGATGTCTTACTGTATAATTTTTGCGTTTTCTGTCTGGACTCCAAAATGTTAGTTTATCCTATGAAAATGATCAAACATTAGTGAAAGATTTTTTTAGCAAACCATCATGATTTTTTAAAGCTTGGCGTTGTTAACGTATAAATGTTTTGTAGACTGTGTATTTATTTACTTATTTATATATTTGCCAAAGGATTTACACCAATTTTACAGTTTAAAAAATAAATTATCATAAAATTTGATGACAATTTCAAAACTTTCAAATCATTATTTTGTTTGTAGACTACTTTGCTTTGGTTAAAGCGTAGCAAATCCCTTAATTCAATTCTGTATTTGTGTGTGTATGTCTGTTGGTAACGCATTAATGTCTTTATTTCTCAGTTTTTCGTGGAAAAGACAAGATCACCTTTGTTAATGAAAATTTCAACCCGAATAAAGTGTGCAGTAGTGAGGTTGAGGTGGTATTTTCAGTGTGAAAAGTAACTTTCAATTACAGGCCTACCTTAGGGCTATGCCTCATATATCTATAAAGCAAGTCCTTTTATCATTAGATATAATATATGGACTAACACGATCGGGTGACATTTAATTGCGAAGCATTCGTTTTGGCTTTGAAACTGTCAGATATTGTATTTGCGAAGGTTTTTATGTATTCCTATACAGTAGTAGTTTTGGCAGCATATCTGGAAAAATGCACACCAACTCCTGTTCTGAATATAAGGTTTCAACTTCCTACAAGATTCCCGTACGTAGAACGGGTAAACAGCTAGTATAATATAATATTGTACTGTCGGCCTTTCGGCGGCCTGCCGGGGCAACCCCATACACGTACCGATCGGCCTGATAGGTGGGGGTTGGCCGGCCGGCGGCCAGACGACCAGGTTGAAGCATTGATTCTAAGCAAAATCTTAGACAAAAAGTTGGTGTCGACGGCGGGATTCGAACTGGAGACCGGAAACCTCCAGATCTCGAGTCCGGGACGCTATCAACTACGCCACGACACCCATGGAATCATATCGTCTCTTTACGGTAATGAATGATAAGAGAAGAGTGACGTCACGCCCCCCATTCCTCTAGAAGAGGAAAACGAGGCGCTATACGGGCCGGCCGGCCGATCGTTACGTGTATGGGAGGCATAACAGCTGTTTCACAAGTTGGTTCTGCGATGTTCAATAGATTTATAAAGTTACAAGGTTTACCAACAGTGTGCAGCACTAATAACTTTTGTTTGAACAACATCTATATAAATAAAATTACAGTTTTGTCTGTACATTGCTTAGAATCATGCACTTTTTGATTATTTTTACGTTTCATAGCCTAAGAAAGCCGAAACGAGTCTTATCTCAATTTCTGTCTGTATGTCTGTTTGTCTGTCCATTCTGTGACTCCGTCTGTAACGCCAAAATGTCATTTTACGCGGCCTACTCCTAGAAAACTAGAGTACCGGTCAAGGTTTTAATCATTTTTCAGTATTTACTGGATTGGTGAGAGTGTCTTTGGCAATAAAAACATGGCCTCGCTTCTTCAAAAACAAAATAACGAACCACCAAAAACCCAGTTTTGTTCGATTTTTGTCAAATTTTCTCCGATTTGAGAAATGAGATTACTCATTGATCTTTAGATCGTAAAATCCAAACGATCAGCTGACATTTAACGATGGATAAAATAAGTGCAGTACCTCCCCTACCTATTTCATTCCTTTCGATAAGCTGTAGGGATATTAGTTAGGCTATTTGATAGTCGAAGTGGTTGTAATTCAAATTTGTAAGGGAGCATAGGGAAGGGTAAGGAGGGTGTAAGGCAATAGCTTGGGTGGAGAATGATAAGTGATGATGAGGGAAGTAAAAAATGTAGAGAGTTGTATTAGTCAAATTTATCTGTTATCAGCAATAAGGATTCACTAAGTATAATCACGGATTAAAGAGTAAAACTTTGCCTACTCTCTATTAAGTGGCATAATGCAGAAGAGCTATAAAAATACATATTTTTTCATTCACCGCCACTCTATCACGTGGAACATGGACTTATACTTATTATATATATACTTATACTTATACTTATTAACGCGTTCGCCTTTATTAAAAGTTGCACTAGAACTAATAATACTATGTTTGTTGTACTGAAGAAAATTAATTACCGAATGCATAATGATTAATGCAATGTGGTTGGAGAACAATGAATTTCCCGTGGAAAAAATCGTTTAAGGCTACGGCCACGTGGGCATTTCTTCACGCGGTAAATACTAGCTTCTTTTCAGGCTGTTTGAATTCCCGCTGTTGTAGGCCATACGTGCGTTTTTTCACGCGGTAAAATGTAGCTTATTTTCGCACCGGTTGAAGTCTAGAAGCGGCAAAACGCAGTGACAACCCGCAGTCGATTGCTGAAATCATGTGATATGTTAAGTATATCTTCCTCATGGCCGGAATAGTAACCTTGGTTTTGAATAGTGTACAAGAAATATGAATGGTTTATTAATTTCAATACGAAAACAACACTAAAATTATTTAATTTTGTGAACCTTCATTTAATTATTTCCAAAGCACTATTTAAACGTTAAACACAGGCCTGTTCAAAACCCACAGCATTGTTGCAGTCTTTGTTGCTTTCGTCCCGAGTGGCGAGTTGTGTACAGTTCATGTGTGGTGCAAAGACTGGGTTTTGTCTTCAGTTGAGACCTGCTTACTCCTAAGGAACATTGCGTTTTGCTTACGTCCAGAGAGGCAAAGTGGATACCAATTTTGATCGGAAGCTTGGGTCGTGACAAGCTCAACCCCTATCACAAGTATCAGAAGAGATCCACCGAACAGTATTGTTAGGTGTTATTGTACTTTGTGCTGATTAATATGTTTTTGGTAAATTGCCCGAGAGATTAGCATGGCACAACACAATCCCACATCTTGCTAATTATAGGAGTAGTGTAGGTGGACAAAGTAGAAGTAGGGAGCATTGACTTTCTACAATCATAATGAGATATCCAGCCAGAGCCCCCAGACTGCAATAGAAACATAGATGAAAATACAAACTCTAAAGCCCCGAACATGTTTCATACTTCCTGGTTGGAACAATCCTTACTCGGAATATCGTACATAAATTGCCTGTATACACAAGACTCTTGTAGTGGATGTACTCTTCGATTAAAGGAAAAAATAAAGATGAAAACCTCTATATGAAAAAGTTTGATATAATTTCTATGTTATGATTAATATGAAGAGAAAGTGATTGTGGAGGGTAGCTACAAACAATCGTATTATTCTTTGTTTGAAGTTCATTGTTGGTGATGGTGAGTTAATGTTGTTCAAAGGTTTATTGAGGACATTTTCCATCACGAATGTAAAAAACAATACACAACGTTTCGGGATCTGGAATCTGATCCCGTCCTCAGGTGAAAAAAAAACTTAACTAACATAGTACAACTAACAAACAAACACTATGACTTGCCTGCTATACAGTGCATAATTTTTGACTGCTACCCTCTGTAGTGTATTGCAACTTGGGTTGGGCGTTTGTGTATTGTTAGTTGTAATGTGTTAGTTAAGTTTTTTTTTCACCTGAGGACGGGATCAGATTCCAGATCCCGAAACGTTGTGCATTGTTTTTACATTCGTGATGGAAAATGTCCGCAATAAACCTTTGAACAATTCGTATTATAAAGAGAAATGAGAGATGTTATAATTATTGGGATCGTTTTGTATGAGTTTATAGATATGTATTGTGTTTACGGTAATTAATCATAATAGGAATGCTATTTATGCCGAGACATACCGATTTAGTTAAGTGATAAAATGAAACAATGAGAACGAAGACCACAGATAATAGTGGTACATAAAGATTTCATTTGCTGAGCAATCGATGTGAGAAGGAGATTCTTGTTAAACATTAACCTGGAAAACCAATACAAAATAATTTATTGTCATCACTCATTGATATTGTACCTTACAAGCTATGTTGTTCTTTACTCATTTTCAAAAAACATGTAAATTACCAAAATTCAATATTTTTGTATTTATTTAAGAATATCAATTTGTTTGGGCATATCCCTAATTTTCACCTCTTTCATAACAATTTTAAACTATATTACTTTCAACCCGATGTTTTAAATATTTTTGCAAGAGCAAAAACCTGTTAGTTATCTTTTACATATATTTTTTCATACTTACACAATATAATTGTATTGTAAGTATTAAACTAATCGATTAAAAATACACGAGGTCCTGGTTATGTAGGGTTTTCCCGGATATATTTTACAAAATTACATACCGTTTTCATAAAATTTTAAATTTTGGTATTTAAAGGTAAACATTATCTTAGAAGCTAAAGAAATCTTTCTAAAAAGTATGAGATAGCAGGAAATTTAATTGGTATGGATGCAAAAGGGAACAAAGGCCGGCTCTGAGGTGAAATGCTCCAGCAGGGGGGGGCGTCCAGCGCCCGCACTCTCTGATAGGCTATGTGGTGGTAGTCACCTAGAACCATCGGTCCCCCGGCTAGACCACTGCAGCCCGGCTGTATATATACCGCTGCTCGAAGACACAACTTTCCTGCGAGAACCAAACGATTTACGCTTCCATAACTATTAGGTGCTTACCATTCTTTTGTTAGAAATTGTTCTGTGAGATTCAGTTATATTTTATCTACCTGAGATAAACTTGTTTTAATTATAATACTTATTTAAATTACATTTCCATAAAAAAAAAACTTAATATATTAACTATAAATAGGTAAACTGTCGATATAAGCTCCCAAAGTGTAAAGGAAATACAACTCGTTCAAAATATATTTTTCAAATACAGTATTATTATTTATAATCACTTTACAGAAGATTAAAGAAAATACTTGGATTATAAGGTAAAATTTCTAAAATACATGATCTTTTTTATGTTAATTTACCATTAGGTTCTAAACAATAATTGTTTAGAGTTGATAATTTATTAATAATTGCATTTCAAACGACTTTTTGGTAAAGCTACCGTTCCCAGCGCCCCTGTTGGCGATCCGAAGAACTACCAACACCCCAATGCGTCGGGAGAACCATTGTATCTTCCCCTGTAGGTGGAATGATTATTTGGCTTATGTGGCCTTCGGCCTTGAATTGTCAATTGTCTATCAAACATAACCAAAATACACTCATGCCCGACATAAAATCACTCAACAGAAAAAACCTTTAACATCCAATGATTTTATGTTAACTACAGTTTTATTTCTATTACTTAAATTGAATCCAATTTTTTCCTTTTTTAATTTAGTTCGAAACTAAATCAACATCTTGCAAAGTCAAAACAAGAAACCAAAACGTAATCTTATCAATCTAGTTTATGTTCAGAGAATATTTGACACAGTAAAATCTGTACGGATTTTACTTGCTAGTTTGAATAGTTTTCTTTTTATCAAAGTAGACCTAACTTAGTACCTACTTTTAGGACAAAGAAAAATCTTACTAAATTCGTCCAATAAAGTTAACTTTTTAGCAATTGTTTGACTTATAGTAAAATTTAATATATTCTCTGGAGATTATGTCAGTATAGAAGAAGTTTTTAACCCTCCGTAAACACTAATTTTGATTTTTCAAACTACTTTCCAAAAATAAATTTTGTTTTAAAAGTTTACAGTGAAATTACTACGATTATCTAATTTAGGACCGAAACCAAAAAATAGAGTAAATGTGGATGGTAAAACACACTATGATACAAAATTGTTTTTGTATTCCTTGAAAAGGCGTTGTACCGTATTAGACCAAAAAAACACAAATATGGTTTCTGGCACAAAATAATACAGAGGTTTTAAATAATCAAACTTATAAATTTGCACATCAATTTAATACATTTTTAGAGAGCAAAACGAATATGTTATAAGACTTAACGAAATCACGTACGTTACCTGTGGAATTGCGCTGGTGAACTGGAGTCGTTTGGAAGAATACCACAGCCCGGTAAACCCTTGATTTCAACTGAATTATAAAAATATGTTTACGTTCTTTATTTGAAAAGAGCTTAAAAAACTGAATTTGAAAAACTGAGCTTAATTGCAAAATAAATATTCAGCCAATCCAATAATGCTTTAAGATTAACAGCATTTTCACAGGGCTAACATAAGCAGTTTTTTGGATGTTAAACTTATTTAATTGTCTTATGTATCAGTATTGTTAACAACTTACTGTAATATAGTTTTGTTCGTAGGCCTAGCCAAGACGGCTTATAGAGGCGGTTAAAACGCCCGGGGATAGCCAGGGTTAGCAATATGTGGATAGTTTCTTATACAAAATAATATATACATTTCTCTAATCTTGTATTCCTCGGGTATTTTACGATTACAATTTTCTAAAACACCTACGGCTTAGCCGTGTTTAGTTTTTTTTTACTCGTTGGGTAAAATAATATTTTAAGGAAGCGGTAAAAAAAAACTCTGTATAAAGTGACAAAATACTTGAATTTACTACATAATTATATTAATAATTAATATTTCGGTAATAGAAACAAAAGTGGTTTTTAATGCAGTTGCGAGTTTAGTGGCGGATTAGAAGTCAGAAAATGAGTGATAAGCGAAACACCGTATTTGGGGGATGAAATGAGTCTTACTACATTGATAGCTTAGCTTAACACCTGACGTATTCCACGATTTCTGACAGGTTTTCCTTCAAAATATTGATTTTAGTCATTAATCAAACAATTTAACATGTGCAACCGATGCCAACAGCGTCTCAGAAAAGCTCATCACGTTGGATCCCACAACGGGAGCTGATCATGATAACAATATTTTTATAAGATTACGTGGATAGTATATCTTGTCTATCTAAGGACCTAGGTTATGCCTATCTACACAGGTTATGTGCACGGGTTCATGCTTAGATAGATAGAATAAGTAAAGACAGTAAGCTGTACAAGAGGTTTGTATTACATTACATTCCTATTCCTGCAACAAAGCTCTATTGTACTGATCCTTAAATTAGGCGACAAATATAACACTATCTTTTGATCTGGATGTAAAATTATCTTTCAAATACTGTATATTCAAAAGCCTTATCCTGAAAAGCCTGGTCTTTCATAAAAAAAACATTATTTCACAGAACAAATTTCATAACAAATTTCAAGAATGGATATGAGATCTCTTTTTCGTTTTTATCAAAGCTACAAAAAAAATGCATTTTATTAGTATGCAATTGTCAACCTTGTTAGAACTACTTATATTCTTTTCCCTTCAATTTCCTAGTTGTATCGAGCCCACTTGGACCCATAGCTATTCAACCTGATCGCGGGATATATAAAGTTTTCAATGAACTCAAAATCGGTTGTTTGCTTATGATGTAAAGGTACTCGCTTGCAAGTCACTTGAAGACTGTAAAGTCCTTGCATTCCAGCTCGGTGAAAAAACTAACTCAATTGATCTAAATGCTTCTAACTGCAGTGTCATTGCACCTAAGAGGCATTTGCTTGATTGACTTGTCTATTTTATCAAGAGATTGTGGTGATTACATTTAGAAGAGTCGTCAACGTTAAGTGCCTTGGAGCCATAATGCAGTTTCCCCTTGACCCTCTAGCACTTTCTCATATAAAGCTCAATACCGGCTCATTCCTCGTAGAATTGGGAGAGAAAATTTGTAGCGGTAAACTCTTGGTTAATAGAACTACTCATTCAAAATATACTTATGTAGACATTTACTGAAAAATTATGTGTACGCCACAAACTTGGATGTTTTAACCATTTTGAATTGGTACAAGTCTATTATGTGAAGATTCCCTGTGAGAAGCTGAACAATCTAACTTTGAAACGCTTATAACACAAGTAAATAGTTTTGGACTCATGTCACTTTAAGAAAGGTGAAAGATTCCTGTTTATGATTTGTCAACGGCTATCTTTACTAACATTACGTTTCCGTTAATTTTTTCTTGATACACAAGCTCGTTTATAGAAGATTCATATTTAGACTGACCAAAGATTATAATCGCTGCAAACTCTTGGCAATTCTTTCACAGCTTTGTATGTGAATTGTCCACTTCAGCTGAACAATGGAGGCAATGAAGAGGAAATGCCTACTTTGTTGTGTCTTCGTCGTATGAATGTATTATGTATGTATTTCATGTATCTGATATTCTGGTAACATAAAATATATTTACGGTATAACTGTTCCAGGTACTTCGTATCACTAGTGTTCCAGTTCCAACTCCACGCCTCTCTATGTGAGGCGGCTCGGCATTCCGGACCTCTGGACACTTGTGACATATTCCGATCTAGAGAGGCTGGTCGTCTGCTAAGGTCCGGTATTTATCCGCATAATCATTTACTAGGTTGTTTTATCTCAACTCTAAATTCTTCTAGGGTGCTGGTCTTGTAGCAGAGTGCAAGGCTTCTGTCCCGAGGCCATAAGGTTCAATTTCCGCCATTCACTAACGACTTTAGCTTTGTTACAATGCCATAACCCTCTGTATAGCCTTAAGTACTGAGTGAAACGATTCCGTCCTAGAACCTAGCCTAGAATGTAAGAGTGGGACATAAAAACCTATGAGAGGTTTACATTCGTTGCCTCTTCAATCCTGTCCAACCCGTTATTAGGGAATTATTTTCGTTACCTTTGTACAAATTGAAAATATGTTTTTGTTGTGTGGGATTATGACGAAGTTGTTCCAAATAGTTTCAGAAAATGAAGAAGGAATTAAGTATTCATATAAATGTATAAAATATCCATAATATTCGTTTTTTTAACGGATTTATGTGATAACTGCCTGTAAATGGGCGTTTTTATAGATTACACTTTTTAGTGTTATATAACAGTAATGCCAGGTCAAAAACATCAATAAGTTCTCACCTTGTGAACTATTTGTGAAATTTGTGAATTAAAAGCGCAAAATACTTCATTGCCACTCGAGAACTGTAGATGACATTCAAGAGCGACAATGACTGCTTGTGCTCGTAATAAACAAAAGATTTTATAGGGAAAGTCTTTTGTTTATTACGAAGATATTGCGAAGGTTTATTGATAAGGTGGTAGGCCACCTTAATTAACTTTTCATAACACACAGATTAACCTTTTAGTCGTCCTGTATATACAATTACATTTAGGTTATGTTATGTTATTTGCGTACCGGTTGTTAAAGTACGGCTGTGGTTGGTATGGAACTAGAAGTGCCAACAGTGAAATCAGCTGATTAACGAGCGGGAATAATTCGTTTCGCTCTAGAGTGTAAATGAACTATTTTGCGTAATGTTTAAGGAGTGGAAATGTAATCATTTCCATGAAATGGTAGGAAAAGTAAGTTATTTTCCTTTGTGTAACACAATTTGTTTGTAACAGCTCGGTGATGGGCGTAGGGGCTTCCCTACCCTGGCCAGAGGTCGTCAGGATAGCCACCCAAGGTCAAACCTCCAATATAGACCCTCAGCCCATGCTCACCTACTTCGCCCCTCTGATGTCCTGGTTGCAAATGCAGAACAGGGACGACTACCCTGTGGGATGGTTCACCTCTCCGTCAGACACAGGTGAAAAAACACATTGTTATTTAAGAGTTCGTTGCGAAGATTTCCATAAGCACAAATAGTAAAACAACTATGTTTTACGGCATTGTGTTCGCCTAACCTCCATCTCTACCAACTATTGTTTATTTAGGACACGGCAGAAGAGAGGACAAATATCGTGGATTTACAGCTCGTTTAATTTAAAGAATGTGGTAACACCACTCTTGACGTTCATTGTTAACCAGGCCTCCTACCCAAGGGTAGGACAGAACAAACAATAAAATAACCATTCAGCGATCCACCAAACAAAAAGTAGCTATGCCCTGTACTCTGTACACAGTGGATCTTGAAGCCACTCCTTCCAAACTGTAGCGCGGAATTACTGTTTGTAACGCAGTACAGGATACTACAGGATATTACAAGGACTACTTCACTGCTGTTCATCATATTTTTTTTTAGAAGTAGACAAATCATTTGTTTATTACTTTGTCCTGGGCAATTCTTATTCATTAAACTTCTTCATCAGGTCAGAATTTCAAATACAAATGTAATTTCACTTGTTTTTGTTTGCCTTTTTATATAATACACACATTAATTTTAATTCAGACCCAGAGATAAGAATTAAAATGTAATTTTGAAAGATACGTAATATGGTTTGGTAACTAGCTATAAACTTGCAAATGCTATAACATTTTAACAATGTTCAATAACGATCCAGAGGCTATACTGTTTTTCAAAATATAAATTTGCCCCTAAGAACACGCCCTGTGTTTGTTTTTTGACTTTGGCTAGATAGTGTACTAATCCTGTTATGTTTTAACTACTTCCACAACTGAGCTGAGTAAAGTATGAAAATTCTAGATCCCAAATCATCGTAAAAACTTCGTTTTTAGCATCGTGATTGAAAGTTCTTCGCATTGATATCTTAAGTGACATTAATTCATCACCACAAAAATCTATTTTTAACAAAAACATCAACATTGGTTTGTGATATATAATATAAAATTTCCAAAGTACAGTATATACCGTAGCATAAACGGCCATTTTAAATTCATGTCATGCGTTGTCAGTCTAAACATATTTTCAGGACAAAGAAGAGTCAACTAAAGCCAAGGGCTTTGAGTCGTTTTAACAAAATAGAGGAAATCCATTTTGAGTAAACACTGGAGCAAATAATTTTACGTTCTTTAAAATATTAACCGTTACCTAAGTTAAGATTCAGATGGGTACGAAGATGACGGTGCACTTTGGTGAGCTCTGCTACACAAATGTGTATTTTTGCTTCTTAAGTCAGTCTGACAAGCGTGCCATTTAGTTTTAAACAGTATTATTTCAATTTAACATTTCCAAATTAAATTTTCCATTTGCAATGTCTTGCAATGTAATGTATTTACTGAGACAAAATAAAATGTTCTTAAATACCTTTTATTTTACGAGTAATAGGCCATGTATAGTTTATTTGCTTACATATTGAGTAAAAGGTTGTCAAACTACCCATCTACTTCAAATTAAATCAGTGAACAATTATAATAGTCCAGGCAAATTAGATCAAATATAGGGAGTGCTCCCCAAAAAATCGTCTAAAGCTGGAAAGTGTTTTAATACCTTTTGGGGGTCCCAAATAAGAGTCCTGTGAGTTTGCGACGGATTCTGACGTCTGCTTAAGTTTTGGGATTCGAAAAACCATGAAAATTTTGCACTTTTTTCAGTTTTTCGCTTATAACTCCTAAATAACGAATCCTACGGAAAATGCTGTCCAAAGGTTTCTTTTAGTGCATTGAATTCTGCGTCGATTGATGTTAAATACGTCAAAATCGGCCGAGCCGTTTAGCCGCTGTAGCTTTTTAAAGTTAGGTCATTTTCATCAACATGGCCAAAAAGTTGATTATTTGACCAGTTTTCGGCTTACAACTCCTAATCGACGCTTGCTATACAAAAATACACCTGTAGTTAGTTTGGAAAAGACAACATTCTGCGTAATATGTTTTTTGTACTAATCAATAATGGCAATTGGTTGCTACCTACTTTGTATGGTCGCCATTTCATTGAAAAAAATTTTAATATTAAATATTAATTTTAGTAAAATTTTCCAACTTTAACTTTAAATTTTTTTTCAATGAAATGGCGACCATACAAAGTAGGTAGCAATCAATTACCGTTATTGATTGGTAAAAAAACATATTACGCAGAATTTTTTGTTTTCCAAACTAACTACAGGTGCATTTTTTTATAGCAAGTGTCGATTAGGAGTTGTAAGCCGAAAACTGGTCAAATAATCAACTTTTTGGCCTTGTTGATGAAAACGATCCAACTTTAAAAAGATACAGCGGC